GTACAGGCTGGGGGCTGACCTGCTGGAAAGCAGCTCTGCAGAGAAGGACCTGGGAGTGCTGGTGGACAACAAGTTAAACATGAGCCAGCAGTGTGCTCTTGTGGCCAAGAAGGCCAAGGGTATCCTGGGCTGCATTAGGCAGAGTGTTGCCAGCAGGTCGAGGGAGGTGATCCTGCCCCTCTACTCAGCCCTGGTGAGGCCTCACCTGGAGTGCTGTCTCCAGTGCTGGGCTCCCCAGTACAAGAGAGACATGGCACTCCTGGAGAGAGTCCAGCGGAGGGCTACCAAGATGAGTAGGGGACTGGAGCATCTCTCCTATGAAGAAAGGCTGAGGGAGCTGGGCCTGTTCAGCCTGGAGAAGACAAGACTGAGAGGCGATCTCATCAACGTGTACAAGTATCTGAAGGGAAGGTGTCAAGAGGATGAGGCCAGTCTCTTCTCCGTGGTGCCCAGCAACAGGACAAGAGGCAATGGGCACAAACTGAAACACAGGCAGTTCTGTCTAAACATGAGGAAAAACTTCTTCACTGTGAGGGTGACTGAGCACTGGACCAGGTTGCCCAGAGAGGTAGTGGAGTCTCCTTCGCTGGAGATATTCAAAACACGTCTGGATGTGATCCTGGGCAATATGCTCTAGGTGACCCTGCTTGAGCAGGGAGGTTGGACTAGATGATCTCCAGAGGTCCCTTCCAACCTAAACCATTCTGTGATTCTGTGATTCTGTGATCATCAGGCAAGTTTGTGGTGATGAGGCAGGTCCAAGATCAAGCCAGGAAGTAAATCTGCAGGTCAGGATCAGGCACACCAATTGCTGGGCGGGTCCATGGTGACAAGGTAGGTCCGAGGCCAAGCTAGGAAGTCAGTCTGCAGGTCGGGATTGGGGTCAATGAGTTCCATGGCCAGGTAAAGGCATGGCTGTGGCTGCGCTGGAGACCAGTACGCCTATGACATAGCTCAGGCAGGGACTGAAGGCCCAGGTCTGAGCTTAAATAGGGCTCCTGGGCCCATGGGCAGGGAGTATGGGTAGAGGCCCCAGGTGAGGCTGGTCAGGGCCAGTAAGGGCCCTGTAAGGCCAGTAAGGGTATTAGTACACTCGGGACCCTGACAAGCAGATCCAAAGTCCTGCATCTGGGATGGAATAACCCCATGCAACAATATGGGCTAGGGGCTGACTGTCTAGGAAGCAGCTTTGCAGAAAAGGATCTGGGGGTCCTGGTGGACAACATAGTTGAACAAGAATCGGCAGTGTGCCCTTTCAGCAAAGAAGGCCCACTGCATCCTGGGGTTTACTAGTAAGAGTGGAGCTAGCAGGTCCAGGGGAGTGATCCTTCCTCTCTATTTGGCAATTGTGAGACTGCATCTGGAGTGCTGTGTCCAGTTCTGGCTTCCCCAGTACAAAGAAGATATTGACCTACTCAAGTGAGTCCAGTGGAGGGCCAACAAGCTGGTCAGGGGGCTAGAGAACGTGACATACAAGGAGAGGCTGAGAAAACTGGGCTTGTTCAACCTGGAGAAGGAAAGGCTAAGTGGAGACCTTACTGCTGTCTACAACTACCTGATTGGAGGATACAGAGAAGGTGGATCCAGAGTCTTCTCAGAGATGCACAACAATAGAAAAAGAGGCAACAGACACAAGTTGGAACACAGAAAATTCTTTTTAAATATTAGGAGTTTGTTTGTTGGGTTTTTTTAAACACCATGAGGGTGGTCAAGTACTGGAACAGTTCACCCAGAGAAATTGTGGAATCTCCATCCTTGGAGGTGTTCAAGACTCAACTGGACAAAGCCACGAGCAACCTGATCTAATTAGACCTGCTTTGATCAGGGGGTTGCACTCGACCTCTGAAGGTCCCTTCCAACCCAAAACTATTTCATAGAATCATAGAATAATTTAATTTTTAATAGTAAATTCTGAAGAGTCCATCTCAAAGGTCATGCAGGGTGTTGGATACGTATAAGAAACCCTTTATTAAGACATGTTTCTGGAATAATCAAATAAATGCAGATATACTGGCCATGTTTACCATTATACAAACACTCCACTCTTTCTGTCTTTTCTCACAGCTTCTTCATGTATGAAAGCTATCCTTTAGACTAAGGAAAAAAAAATCAGTGGTCATTAGCTAGGTTTCCTAAAAAAAAGTGATGTTTATGCAATTGCTCTCTGCCAGTCTCCCTGCCTAAATAAATTTTGAATTTCATTCAGGTTTGAAAGATGTATTAAAGTCTCAACAAGAGATTCTTACAAATTTGGGGGAAGACTTAGTGGAGAACTCTGTCAGTATCTGTTCTGTTTGCCAGTAGCAAGCTGACTGATCAACATATGTTGAGTGGCCAACCAGTCTTAATAGATGTAGTTCCAGACTAGCCACAGCATACATCTCATCTGGTGGAGTGTCTTGGCAAATATAACAGCAGAAAAAATCATATAGGAGAGGTCTTAAAATGCCCAAGCCATGCGGAGGGAGGAATTCAAGCTTGAAGTCAACCTCATACTACAAATTAAAGAATGAGGCTTTGCTATTTTTTGATTCTCAATAATCTATACATAAAAAAAGCAAGTGCTTTGTAATAAACTTAATATCAGAAGGCCCC